ACAGTTGGTTCTTCCTGCTATATTATTGCAATTCTGTGGAGTTTGTAGCACAATTGTTGGCAAGTAACTTTTTTTTTTTTAAATAATATTACATGTAAAAAATGTATGCCGGATTAAATAATATCAGTCCATTCTTATGACTGCAGATACAAGCAACTTTTGCAAGGACTGAGAAGTATTCTTTTCCCTTTGTGTTGAACTTTATGTGGTGAGCTTGTGCATTTACTATATGATTCAGAGATGAGGATGCAGAATCTTTTTGAAGGGCCAGCTGCCCATAGTTGAAAAGCAGACATGCTGAACTGGTAAGCCAAATTTATCCTGCCAGAAGAAAATTATGAGTGGCAAGGGTATGCAAAGTTGTTGGCTGTGGCTTGGATGAAGATTGCTTTAGGTGAAATAACTGTTCTTTCAGAGTCATGGCACGTTGTTGCCAAAATTGCAGCTTAAATGGTTCTGTTACTGAAAGGAACTCCAAATTATCCTATGAAAGAAACACTTTAAATATGAAGATTTTCTTAAATATAATAACGTTGATGTTTAATCTGGAACACTTTTAAGTAGCGTCTTTGAACCCCTTTTGTCTAGATGAAGAGCTCCCACTTGAGTAGTTAGAAAGTAGTCGATGTGTTTCTAGATTGTAGTGTCTAAATAAGAAGCTGCTCGATAGCAGAACTCTGTCACAGAACTTCTTATGGATAATGTACTAAAATTGACATTGTGGGATTTTTTATAAAAAGATAATTCTTTACATTGATTTTGTGATGAGTGGCAGAATTATGTAATTTTTTTATGAAATGCAGAAACGTGTTTTGATTTGCACACTTGTATACTGCTTGTGGGTGGGTTGAACTTGGGTTGATATCTGACTGAACTGATAGAAGAGAGTCCTCATTTTATAGCGGCAGAACAGGAGTAATAGTTTGTGTTTGCACTTAAAGGTTTGCTTAGAACATTTTGCACACTGATCTGGAATCTCTAAAATTTCTACCATTTGTATTGCTTAGTGGCAAAAGATAGCGGTGTTTTGATTAATTTTGTTGATGAAAAGCCTATGGGAGGAGTTAAACACTGGAACCCAGCTCAGTTTTTGTTTCCTTAAAAGTATAGAAAGACACATATGAGAAGCTCTTCATGCACATTGGTAGTGTTTTGGGTCTATGTTTCAGGTATATGGTATCATTCAATAATAAGTGATGTTAGGTTTCAAAAGAGACTGTTTCTGTTCCTCTTAAAATAAATAGAATGTAACTAGATAGTGTGTCAAGCAGAAACATAAAATGGAAAAGACAATTAAAGGTTTTTGCATTGTGCAGTGAAACTGTTAAA